TGTAAAAACTGTGGACCCATGCAGGATGTCACCTCTCCTACTATACACAAAAAGAAACAATCAAGTCCCTTGCCTTACCCTACACCTCCACATCTGTATTTGTGTAAAACCCATACTTTTGGAGTGTTCTCAGCCCCAGGTTAAGAACTCAGCCCTGGAAATATCTCTGGGTATCTAGGCAGCCTAGAAACATAGTTCTGTTAACTTGTAGTACTTACAGTGCTGTATAGTGCTGCCATTCTTTATCAGTCCTTTGTAGATTTGAGAAAATCACACCGTGCCTCCTGACCATTAACTAATGGTCATATTCAATTTTCTTTTTTTTTTTTAAGATTTTTATTTTTTTTTTTTCCTTTTTCTCCCCAAAGCCCCCCAGTACATATACTTCATTGTGGGTCCTTCTAGTTGTGGCATGTGGGATGCTGCGTGGTTAAGATGAGTAGTGCCATGTCCGAGCCCAGGATTGGAACCAATGAAACACTGGGCCACCTGCAGCGGAGCACGCGAACTTAACCACTCGCCCACAGGGCCAGCCCCTCAATTTTCTTTTTATGAGCAGAAATTGTATCCAACTTATTTTTAGGTTCATTAATATGTGCTACAACCAAAGGACCATGATTACATTCTTTATCTTTTTAAGGCTTTTGAAGTAGGGATTATGTAATTTTACAGATAAAGAAATTAAGGTTTGTCACAAAGCTTATTTTATGTAGGTAACATATCTCTGGCTTTCTGGATGGAATGATTTCTGTTTCTTTTTTACCTCTCCCCATTCAGAAACCCACTGAAAACTCTTTTAGACCAGTGTTCTCATCTGTGAAATTTTATCTGGGTAGAGAAAGATGACGAAAAAAATTGTCCTTGTCTTATAGTGGAGGAGAATGATGTGTAAAACAAATGTTCTAAATAATTCCAAATGTAGTATGAAAACTATCCCATAAAGTTGTGAGGATCAGATTGGTTACAGGAAAACTGAATGTCATGTAAACTATACAGTTTTCTAAACACGTCTGGCCCTTACCTTGATATAAAATCCTTAAGGCCTAGTACAGTCCAGCTAGAGAAATTACTTGGATGTTTACCTAATCTCCAATAGTGTTTTCCCATTTGTACTGACAGCAAGGCAACACCTCACCCAGGCTTGTGATGGAAGAAACTCCAGTCATTTATTATTATTAAAGTGGAAAAGAGAAGAGGAGTTTACTGATCAAATGGATCAATGTTTGGAGCACTTGCTCTGTGCCAAAGGTTTTTTAATTTACACAAGAACTTTCTAGGTGGAGAGGAATAAAGTCTCCATTGAATAGACTCTCACTTACCCCAGGCTAATAGTTATAGATAACATCTGAGTACTTATTGTAAGCAAAGGCACTGTTCCAAGTACATTACATACATTTCATTCACATGCTTCTCGATCTTTATAACAACTCAGTAAAATATCCTTAATATTTTCATCTCTAATTTATGAATAGGAAAACTGAAATTTAAAGAGATTAGACAATTTGCCTAAAAATATTGCAAACTGAGACTTTGAACTCTGACAGATTTGACTCCAAAGTCTTCGCTCCATTCTGATACACTACCAAAGCTTTCAGCGTTGAGTATCAATCACTCGTCATTTATGAAGTAAGTGTGGCTGTCCATGGCAAGAGATGGACTAAAGGAGTTACTGGGCCATTTCTGAGGGAAATGGTGCCTTCCCCCACAAACAAGTTTCTTGTGGCAAAATCAGGTTGGAAGGATAAGAAAGGTTGAGGAAGGTGGAGGTGGCGTGGTCGAGCCTGTTCAGGAGCTGATTAGATCTGAGCCTCTGGCCCTTTTGCCTGCCAGCTGACTCAGAACTAGCAGATGGGCCAAAGCCCAGGCAGGTTGATTTCATGGGCTCTATACTTCAAAGGATCTGATTCCTGGCACTGCTATGCACATTGCTTTTCTGAGGGCACAGCCTTGTGAGGGACGGAACAGGATGGTCTCTATGAAGTGTTTGTGAATGGTCTATGCAGTGTTATCTCTAAATCAAAATATATACAGCTTGTTCTGTGTTTGGCAATAAAACCACAGGACTAGCTGTGAGCATGGCTGAAAATTGGGCATTTAAACCTTAAGTATTCCTCTGCAGTGAACATGGTGGTTAAGAATATGGGCCCTAGAGTCAGATAGACCTGAATTCCAATCTTGGCTCCACTGCTCAACTGTGCATAAATTACTAAGCCTCAGTTTTCTCATGTATGAAATGGGGATTAAGGTAGTACCTACTTCATACGGTTGTTGTGAAGATCAAACATATATAAAGCATATACCACAGTACCTGAGACATAGTAAACACTCTTGAAATATTATTATTCAAAGAAAACTCATTGTATAAGAGAATCTCAAAGCTTAAATTAATTGGTTCATCATTCTTTCACTTAACATGCACTCAAAAGATATTTATTATTGTGTTGGGTGAGAGGGGTAGAGAAAACAGTAATAACTTTCAATGAACAGTGAAAATAAGCAAAATATTTTTTAAAATATTGTCTCTTTTTTTAAAAAGATTTTATTTTTCCTTTTTCTCCCAAAGCTCCCTGGTACATAGCTGTGTATTTTTAGTTGTGGGTCCTTCTAGTTGTGGCATGTGGGATGCCGCCTCATCATGGCTTGACGAGTGGTGCCATGTCCACATCCAGGATTGGAACCGGTGAAACCCTGGGCCACTGAAGCACAACCCGCAAACTTAACCACTCGGCCACGGAGCTGGCCCCTATTGTCTCATTTAATGTTCACAGCAACCCTATAAAGTATTTTCCCACTTTATAGATGAGACCCTAGATCAAGAGAAGTTTGGTAACATGTCTAAGGTCATATAGTCAGTACTGTCTAACTCTAACACCTGTGAATAAGATAGCCTTTATCCCCGCCAGAGCATGTTATTCAGCAGGTAGGCAGACACGTGAACAAGGTGTCTGCATTCAAAGTGCTGTTATTGAGGTTTATACTAGGTGCTTGGGAGCACAGAGCAGGGAAGGTGAACTCGGGAGTGGGGAGTAAGGTAAAGGTAGTCTCCTTCACAGGAATACATGCTATTATTGGGACTTCAGGTGGGAATGAGGTACGAGGCTTTTGATGGTAGAGGAGGAGTTAAGAGGTCTTTCTGGGTTTCCTCAAGTCACTCTAAAAGAGAGCCTTTAAAAGGAGTCCTTTCTGGGATTCCTCAAGTCAATATGACTGCCTTTTAGATCTAACATTATAAGTGTAGCAAATTTTATGGTTACAAAGAAACTGTCTCCAGAAAGACCAGATGACATTGTTTACTTGAGGTGAAATGGTGGGGTTTATAGTAAATGTCTGTCTGTCTACATTAGAATCATCTGTACCTCCTTGGGCTTTGGAACTGAACGTAGGGTTAATAGTAGCAAACTAACTTCTATTGCATGATCATTAGGTATTAGTCTCTGCTGTGTTACAGGCGAGAACTCTTAGTTGGAGAAAGGTGGAAAGGCTTTGTCTAAGTCAGTAATCTCAAATTAAGTACACTTAATTTGGGCACATACCCTCAATATAAATAGATTATTTCTTGTATTATTATACAATTATCAAATGTAGATGAAATAAAAATTTTTCAGGAATGACATGAAGTTGAAATAAACTATTTCATCTCAAGGCAAAATATATACTTAGGATTCTGTATTTGTTATTAATGGTGAACACAAATTAATATTTCAAATAGGCTACTTAATAGTTTTGGATTTTTTTGGTCGATTTGTCAGATTTGGTTAGATCATCATTGTATTGAACCTCATAGTGTAACTGGTGCTAAGTAGAAGCGTCAATTTTTTTTGTCCTGCTATGTATCATCTTCAACTCACAGGGGTTTTTTCTTTCAGTCATCTTTTTAAACCAGTTGCTCACTTTGTGAGATTTAGTTTAGCGAAAATTAGACTTCAAAAAAATCTGTAAATCCTTTTTTGAACTGCCATATGTCACTAAATGCTGAAAGTGAAAGAACTTCTATTCATACCTCATGTGACATGTGAGCATCAAATGTAGGGAAAGTGTGTGCATGCCAAGTTCAATCCATATTAATAGAGTTTAATTTTTTATGAATAATAAACATACATAGAAGTTTAAAAGTTCTTACCACATCTCAGTGGATTGTCTTGTATACCTCTAGAGTGAGCACACTCCACTTTGGAAATTAGGGGTCTGTGCAACAGAAATTGTAGCAATCAAGCGACAGTAACCAATCCCATCTTTAGCCATGATTGGCTGAAATTCATTTATGAATGACAAATGGGAAGGGTACAACATGACTTCCCAGGAAATGAGAAGAGCTGAACATAGCCGAACCTTTGAGAGCGTGACCTGTCTGAACAAAGGTAGGACCTACAAGCATCAAGTGCCTCAAAGAAATACATTTTAGAGGCCAGCCCCATGGCTGAGTGGTTAAGTTTGTGCATTCTGGTTCAGCAGCCCAGGGTTTCACTGGTTCAGATCCTGGGCGCAGTCCTAGCACCGCTCATCAGGCCTTGCTGAGGCAGTGTCCCACATAGTACAAGCAGAGGTACTCACAACTAGAATATACAACTATGTACTGGGGGGCTTTTGTGGAGAAGAAGAAGAAGAAGAAAAGAAGAAGAAGAAGAAGAAGAAGAAGAAGAAGAAAAATGATTGGCAACAGTTGTTAGCTCAGGTGCCAATCTAAAAAAAAGAAATACATTTTAGTTTTAAGAAAATGGACCTTGTCAGACCTACCTAGATTTAATCTCAGCCCTGCTATTTACTAGCCATGCAATTTTGGGAAAGCAAAACCTCTTGGAGTCTGTTTTTCATTTCTAAAATCAGGATGATTAATACCAGTACCTATCTCACTGAGAAGAGTTTAACGGGATACTGTTGAACCCTATGTGCCCAGAGATGCTGCGCTAAACTCTTTACAAGAATTCATTTAATCCTCATAATATACTATCATGGTAGAGGCTAACTAGTTGTTCACCAAAATATTTTCCTTTTCCTCCTAGGCACACAAGAGGACTACGTTTCTTAGTCTCCCTTGGAGCCGCATCACTGTGTTCTGGCCAATGAAATATGGGCAGAAGTGAGCAACATCACCTCTAGGCCTGACCCATGAAACTTTCCCTTGCAATTCTCCATGCTCTCTCCCCTCATCTGTCAGAGGATCTAGGAGAACCATTAGGTGCAAGGGGCTCCCTGTTTCTCTCCCTACCTTTAACCTGTGTTGGATTGTGATGTGAGCCAGAAATAAACTTTTATTGTGTTAATTATTGAGATGTAGGGGTTGTTTGTTACAGTAATTAGTGTACTCTAATAAAACAAGGTTTGATAAGAACTCAGAGAGGGAGAGAGAAAATGTTCACAGTGTCTGGCACATGATGTACAATCAAAAGGGTGATTAACTTAAGAAAGATGAAGATTACTTTTATGAGATAGCTTATGAGCAAATACCTGTAAAGGTCCTTTGGGTATGAGAAAATGCCAGGAATCATTGATTTATACTCTGGTTTCCAAAGCTTTTCATAGACACCACTGGGAACACCTCAAGGAATGGAGATACCATGCCTGCAGCACCTTATGCTCTATAGACTAAGTTTTAAAAATATGTAACAACTATAAATACATTTTCTTTCTTTTTTAATAAAGATTGCCACCTGAGCTAACATCTGTTGCCAATTTTTTTTCTTCTTCCTCTTCTTCCCAAAGCCCCCCAGTACATAGTTCTATATTCTAGTTGTAGGTCCTTCTGGTTGTGCTATGTGGGACACCACCTCAGCATGGCTTGATGAACAATGCCACGTCTGCACCCGGGATCTGAACTGGCAAAACCCCAGGCCACTGAAGCAGAGTGCGCAAACTTAACCACTCAGCCACGGAGCCAGCCCTGAATACATTTTCTGTACTGCCTCGGGAATCCTTCTTCCATCTTGATGAGGTTTTTCTCTTGTTTATTCAAATCCAGGAGCTGAAATGTGCATTTTAGATTTCTCCCTCAAGTTAGCCTGTATATTACCAATAGTTTCCTTCACTTCTAGACATTACAATACTTAACTGGAGCCTTTTTTTTCCAAAGATTTTATTTTTCCTTTTTCTCCCCAAAGCTCCCCAGTACATGGTTGTATATTTTTAGTTGGGGTTCCTTCTAGTTGTGGCATGTGGGATGCCGCCTCAGCATGGCTTGATGAGTGGTGCCATGTCCGTGCCCAGGATTCGAACCAGCGAAACCCTGGGCTGCTGAAGCAGCACGCGTGAACTTAACCACTTGGCCACGGGGGCCAGCTCCCCTGGAGCCATATTTTTGTCTTGAGAAATTGAATTCCTATAATTTGGATTACTCTTGGTCTCTGAATGATCTCATGTCATATTTTTGATCTAGTAACTGTTGCTGTGTTTTCCTCTTTTTCATGCTTATTTGCAAAATTGATTCCTATAGAATTGCATGGATAGCTACTTAGGCACTTGACTCCAGATTTTCTCCTCAAATGCAGATGAATTATTTCTTCTTGGCTTTGGTGAATCAGAATATTAGCACAGCCTCCCAAGACTATTTGCTGCTATTACCCTTATCATGCTCCTCCCTTCTATCTTCTGTCTTAGAAACATGTGGGAGCTAGGCAGTTGGCTTTGAAGCCTTAATAAATGTTCACGGAAGCTATGTGGCTTAGAGGGAACAAACAGGCTTTGTGTTCAGACAGACCTGATTTTCAGTCCTGGCATAACCACTAACTAGCTCTATGTGGCATTGGTGAGTTATTCAACTTCTTAGGAGTCATAAGTAAAATGCAGTTACCAAAACCCACTTTGTAAGATTGATAAGAAAACCCACTTTGCAAAGGTAAATGGCTGATTTTACTCTTGAATATGATATAGAAATCTTAAATAAAATACTAGAAAAGCAAATCCAAAATATGCATCATGATCATGTATTTATATCAGGAATATAATTTTGGTTTAATATTTTAAAAATAAAAAATGTGATTTATACCTTAACTGATTTTGATAAAATTTAACATCCACTCATAAAAACAAAACACGTGGCAGGTTGGAAGTGGAAGAGAACTTCTTAAACTGATAAAAGATATCTATAAAAAAATTTACACTTAGGGAGGCAGAAGCTTTCTTAAGTTGATAAAAGATAACTTTAAAAACTATATCATACTTAATGGTTAAAAGACAAAAAATTTCCCTTTGAGATCAAGAATGAGAATTCTTTTATTCACCATTGTCCTAGAGAACCTAGCCACCTCAGTAAAGCAAGAAAAATATATAAATAAAGGTATTAAGGATTGGAAAGGAAGAAAGAATATCAAAAAACGACTACATATAAATTATTAGACTTAATAAGAGCTTAGAAAGTTTCTTGGCTACAAGACTAATACATATAAATCAATTGCATTTTTATATACAAGCCACAAATAGTGTTTTAAAGTTTCTAAAATACACAACTTACAATGGCATTAAAACTATCAAGTACCTAGGATTAATCTAACGAAAGATGTGTCTGTCTCTAGGGAAAAGACTAAAACTTTGTTCAAAGACATTAAAGAACATATAAATAAAGGGAGAAATATACCATATTCAGATGGTCTCCTTCACCCCACTTGTATGGCTCTGAATATAGTACCCTACCTGGAACTCATGTTCTGGTGCCTCAGAAACCTTCCTGCCTCCAGTTCTTTGTTTCCGTAAGCAAATGTCTGCACAGAAACAGCTCCTGATAGCCTCCAACCTTGGATACAAGCTCACTGTCGTCATCTCTGATGGCAAGGAACACTCTACTGGGGCTGCTTGGTGGACCCTGATCTTTGCGAGTTCTGCAGAAGCCCAGCTCATCTCCAAACAGAAGAATAGTTAGCATTTATAGACAGGTTCACTCTATCCAAATCACGTTCCTTCTTTTGACCATTAGTATAAACCCATGGGGGAAAGGATTTGTATTATCCCCATTTTATACGTGAGGAAGCTGAGGGTCCTCAAGGTTAATGGCAGTCAAAGACCCACAGTCATGGAACTGGGTCTCAAATTCAGGGCTTTTGACATCAAATTTAATGCATTCTCTGCTATTAAAACAATGTTTGTTTGTTTGTTTGTTTCTTGAGGAAGATTAGTCCTGAGCTAACATCCGCCACCAATCCTCCTCTTTTTGCTGAGGAAGATTGGCCCTGAGCTAACATCTGTGCCCATCTTCCTCTATCTTATATGTGGGGCGCCTGCCACAGCATGGCTTGATGGGTGGTGTGTAGGTCTGCACCTGGGATCCGAACCTGTGAACCCTGGACTGCCAAAGTGGAGCGTGCAAACTTAACAGCTATGTCACTGGGCTGGTCCCTAAAACAATGTATTTTTGACAGCAGCCCTGTCCTACCACATTCACCAGGGCAAATGCAATGTCTTATGGGTTCTTGGGTCTTTTGACTGGGCAAATCTTTTCCTGATGCCTCTATTTTCAAACAGTTGAGTTTCTGTAGGCATTATATTTTTACATCTTAAGAAAGGATGGGAAGAAGAGAAAGGAGAGAGAAAAGTAGGGACTTTAAAGTATTTGCCCCACAAAGTGGCAGTTGATTGTTATAGTCAGGCCAAAACCTCCTTTCTCTTACCTATGAAGTGAGATAACAGATTTATCTCTCTCTCTCTCTCAGGCTTTTTGGGGTTAGATAAAGTAAAACATAAAAAGGGCTTAGCACAGTGCCTAGCACATAGTATGTGCTCCATAAATGCTAGCTATTGTTATTGGCAGCTCCTACACCAGCAGAAGACACTCCTATGGTTTTTACAGCAAAGCAGAGTATTGCCCAGATCAGGGCTGCGGAAGCACAACACTAGACTGACTGCAGCTGCTTTTTGCTAATATCTTTTGAGCTGTTCTTAAAGAGACATCCTTTCCCTGGAGAACTGCAGTGGGGAGGAAGACCCCTAGGAACTGTCTTTGCTTCTCAGCATGTGATTCATAGGGGAAGCCATATAGTTTAAGACATGTCCTTTGTTCATTTGTTCATTCTTCCTTTTTTTTTTTTTTAAGATTTTATTTTTTCCCTTTTTCTCTCCAAAGCCCCTTGGTACATAATTGTATATTCTTCATTGTGGGTCCTTCTAGTTGTGGCATGTGGGACGCTGCCTCAGCGTGGTTTGATGAGCAGTGCCATGTCCGTGCCCAGGATTCGAACCAACGAAACACTGGGCCGCCTGCAGCGGAGTGCTCTAACTTAACCACTCGGCCACGGGGCCAGCCCCTCATTCTTCCATTTTTCATTCAATAGACCTTTATTGAAGAACCAGCTGTATAGCAGGCACTATGCTAGTCACTAAGAATGAAGAGAAATACATGATAGGTTAGCATTGCAGAGGGAAATCTGGGGCCATCATCTCAGGCTTCACAGCGTTGGGGGTCCAGGACCATTCATTTGGAGGAACAAGGGGCAGATTCCAGGTATGGTGGGAAATGTATGAACTTGACATCAGAGGGATTGAGGTTTCAACCAAGGTGCTGCTTACTTTCTGTGTGAACTTGAACAAATCCTTCATATCTCTAAACTTCTGTCTTCTCATCTGATAAATGGGAATTATATAGTTACCATGAAGCGTTATTATGAAGATTCAATGGTATCATTTAAGTGAAGTGCCTGGCCTTTAGTGGCTCCTCCTTCTCATGAAATTGATCACCTCTCTGCCCCTCTAACTTCTCCACTCCAAGTTTCATTTTTCTCTATTGTGGTGTCTTTTTTCCTTTAAACCTGACCTTAATATGCTGTAAAACCTTCTTTCAAACATATAGTAATAACAAAATAAGTGGAGATGTGGGTGGGACACACAGTGTACTTTGCCCCCAACCAGGAAGCCACCCTCCTACTCCTCTTCCCACATAGCCATCATTGTTTCAAGCACAAAGCCCAGTTGTCCTTAATTATCCATAACCAAGCACTTCAGGCCATCTCTGATTAGTACATCAAAAGGAGCCCATTTGGTGCAGGTGGACTATTTCCACATTTGCTCTTTATCCCTCATTAACTGGTCAGACTGTTCAGAGGGAAAAAGGATCTTGTAAGGAGGTTGACTCTAAAGGAATGCTGAGTATGTCATTCTTGGGCTCTTGATGCGTCAGGACAAATGTCCTTGGCCCTTTCCTCAATAGTGATGACGTTGCTTCTTTGTGTCTATTTGAACCCTTCTCTAAACACTGAGAAAGTTGTTTCATTCATTTCTTTACTTAATCGTTTATTCATTCATTCACTCAATAGACATTTATTGACCACCAACTATGTGCCAGGAC